TGTAGGGTTTGTGCCTCCGGGAATATCCACGACAATCCTGATATTAAAACAGCAAACCATGCCACAAATAAAGCTGGACCCTTTCTTAAATTCAACACGTTGTATATGTATATATACACACACACACATACATATATATATATATATATAATATATATATATATATATATATATATATATATATATTCAGCTTTTAAATTCTAGGTGAAGTTTGATAGTTTGTGATAGATTTAGAGAGTACCCATCTCAACCAATGCACAGAAAATATCCTCTTTTTCTCAAGTTTTATGCGATTTTTCAACCATCCAACTTAGAAATATGAAACTGTTTTCTTGTTAGTAATTGGGTATATCTTTGGATTACAGGAGGAAGAGAGATTGAGGAAAGTTCTGAGATTTGCAAATGCGTGTGGAGCGATAACGACGACCAAGAAGGGAGCAATCCCTGCTCTTCCTACCGATACCGAAGTTGTTGGCTTTCTCCGAGGCAAATAGAAACAATCAAGTGATACTTTAATTTGTTTTCCCCCCTAAGGGCTTCTCCTTGGAGCTTGTTTCTCCCTAATGTATCTGATCTGAATAGAGGAGAGCACCAAGGAATGGGTTGCCCGATTTTTATCTCTCTTCGTTTTTGATGTAATGATTTGAGAGACTTCGTGTTTTAAGCATCGGTCACAGACTTAGCAAACGGAACTAATACATGTACATGCAGAAAGGTCCTCCACATTATAATCTTGACGCTATTACTACTGCTTGCTTTGTCGGTGGTTTAGCCAAGATCTGGGGACAATGAAGTGTTTCTTCTTTGTCGTCGTCATTGGTCTCAAGTCTTGGCTTCTTGTTTGCGCGAGTGAACTTGGTCGGAATAAGACAGTGAAAGCTGGTCCTCGAACAGATACAGACCCACACGCCTTCAAGCCACTCCAGATCGAGCTGCTGAATTATGTACAGCAGTAATGATAAGACATGTCAGTTACAAAGTATCGCCATCAAGTTTCTGTTCTAAAACAAGTAGAACGGAGCCGCGTTGGAGGATCTTTGATTCTGCGAAGAATAAAAAAGAAACACAATGGTGCTAATGACAAAGGCCATGTAGGGACAACTCCCGTTTCATCTCCCCGCACATTCTTGTACTCGCTCTCTTTCTCTGTGTGTTTTGGAACACATGGAACTTTCTGAAATGGAAGCTTCAAACAGAGCCTGTCTTCGACCAAGTTATATAACACACACCCTCCCCAGATGAAAAATCGTACAAAAGATGCAAGAAACTTTCAAAATGCATAGAGCCGACAAGGATCATACAAACTTAATCTTAGGACCCTAAGGTACTCGTCACCGTCCATTACAAACAGGGAAGAACAAAAATTACCCAACGAAAAGTGATACCGAAAAGAACAAAGATATATCACCATCATCAACTAAACATACACCAGCCTCTCCCTCTTAACTTCTCTGTCTCTCTTTATGTTTTCTCCCAAAATGCTTCTGCCATTGGCACCAATGGTCATCCCCGAATCCAGCCTGCCATTAGGTTTTATGTGGTCAACGTAGAAAAAAAGGTATGGTATGGTGCATGAACTTGAAAGGAGTAGGGTTTAGTTTTTGGCCATGTTGCAAAAGAACAGGACTTTTTAGATAATTTTGGCCGAATGAGATTTTGAACAAGAAAGCATACTTGACTGTGCAGGCCTACCTTTCTGGACCGAGCATCAGATACCCTTGTCCTTCATCTTGGGAGCCTTGAGATCAGATGATGATCCACTCTCTTTCTGGCTCGGAGAAGGCATTGATCTTCTCAAATCCGCAAACCCACTTTGTTGCTCCTGCTGCCGAAGATGATGCAGTTGTTGTTGCTGAAACTGAAACTGTTGCTGCTGTTGTTGTTGCTGCTTCTGTGAATGAATCTGGAGCTGCTGGAATTGTTGTGCTGCTAAGAGTGTGTGCATCGACTGATTGTTGTGATATAATTGCTGGTTCGATCCATAAGAACCATAGTTCATCATCGATGCACCGTTTGGAACAACTGGGCCTGTCAGCACCTTAAGATGCTGGATTTCCTCCTTTAACGCGTCATTTAATGCTGCATAAAGAGAAGGATGGATTTGTCATACCAGAGACAAGAACACTTGCTAACAAATTAGTTTCCATAATGAATTGTACTAAGCCTGATTGGGAAGAGTATCGGAGCTTCCTTAACTAGCAAACGCAAGAAAACAAGAAAGGCTTGAATGTTAATTTGGTTGGCATTTCAGCACCTTGAGACTATCCATGATATATACTGAGCTAAAAGCGATCAATCAAGCCCCCCCATGACTTTTTCATAAGACTGAGAAATATACAAGGGAAAAAAAAAATCAAAGTAACATTTAGCCTCCAAGTAAGTTCTTGTAAAAGAAGACCCTCACCATCTTGCAAGTGAACCTGTTGCTCCATTGTTTGTAAGCGCAGTTTCAGCTCATTATTTTCAACAGTGAGTCCATTTGTGTCTCTCTGAACCACAGGAAGAGAAGAGTGTAAGTTTGATGATCATAATACTGTAATATTAACTGAGATTATAAAGGAAACACAATATTCATTTGACAAGAAACAAGAGAAGCATCGATCCCTACAAGAGATCTCAAGGTAGTATACCGCACACTAATTCAACCAACCTGTAGTAGAGTCAACTGAGCTGAGAGGGATGTTGCCTCTGTTTGTAAAGTTTGTACTTTTCTTTCAAGTTCTGCAATGTATCTCATCTTCCTTTCCTTTGACCTTGCTGCAGATTGCCTGTTTGCCCATATCCTATTAAATCACACAAGGGCATGTCATGCAAGGGCTCCACTTATAGAAAATAATCCGGAAGAAAAGAGAGGAAGGACAAAAAAGATACACCATGCAAAATGAAAGAAGTATGAACACATGGGTCAGCAAATCTTTTAGTGGTAATCTGACTGTAAAATTTGCCTGTTTGAATAGAAGATCTGAACTCAAGCACATTTTGATGAAAACTTTTCACGGTCGCTAAAATCACTGAGCACAAAGGAAAAGGAAAAGGAAAAACAATACCTCTTAGCACGTTTTGGATCAATGAGAGCAAGCTCAGCGAGTTTAGCAGCAGACATGGCTTTCTTAGGGTCAGATGGGGACGCTTCTTCAGCCCCAGACATCAGCATCTCGGGCTTGATAGTCGTTGAACCATCCATCGATTGGCTGTGTTGGTGCCTGATTCTCGGCCTTTCACTGGAACCAGCAAGCATGGTCTCAGGATTGGAGGAAGTAGCCAAATTCGCCGACCCTGTCTGTGTTCCTTCAATCCTCCCAGCATGTTCAGAAGGATCACCCATTTGAGACGAAGATGTCGCCGAAGAATTGAACTTATCCATATCAAGATACATAAAAAGTAAGTCCTCTTCCGTTTCATCAGAGAATGAAGGTCCATCAGCACCACCAACCACACCAAGATCACTATCAAAGCTTAGATCATCTGGGAGAGTAAGTATTTCTGAATGAGCTCGCCGATGACCCAGATTCTTAGGTGGGTTATCGGGCATGCGGCTAATGTCATGGCTAAATCGGCTAGAATCTGATCCATGGCCAAAAGCACCAATATCTGAGCTTGAACTCGGAACCAAAGGAGGAAATGACGACTCAGTTTTCATTCCAAAGCTACTTCCGTTAGGTGAAAATGCCGAGTACCCGCCCGAAGGAGGTGGCAAACCTCCACCGGGGGCCGGGGATTTTTCCTTGTCCATTATCAAGAATTCCCCGGAGGCTTGATCGCACCACTATCTGCGGACGATTATTGCCAAAATCAGATCATGTGATCTTGACATTAGTATACAAATTTAGGGTTTCATCCGCAACGTTCTGCTATCGATTCCATCGCGAGAGAGAGGAAAAAACGAAGAAACCCTAGAACCTACCCAAGAATCAAAGTGAACAAGAGGGACCAAAATAGAAAAATAAGACTAGAGAGAAATCGATGAAACAACGAAACCCTTGTCCGAACACTTACAGAGATCCAGACAGCCGCAGTAGCCTCCTGAAACCGACGCAAAACGACTTAACAGAGAGATCAACAACCACAAGGACAGAAGGAAGTTTCCAGCAGAGAAATTTTCCGGGAAAATTGTAGGATTCCCCGCAAAAGTTTAGGGGCTTTTACATTCCTGAAGAAGCAAAGAAGAGGGAGGGAGAAAGGAATCGAAGGAGAAAATCATGGAAAGGAAGGGAAGAAGAACATTCTCTCTCCATTCATGTGTTCTGTCTTCCAATCACGTGGATGAGCACGTGCCTGTTCGCACTTCGCAGATCCAAAACGTGCATTATTTGTTGTAAACTTTGAAAATGTGGTTTGGATTCCTGGTCCGTTGACCGAAGGTACAACTATGAGAAGCGTAAATCGATTACACTCGTGCCGTAGACGACTTGCGAATTATTCCTTCCTTGCGCCGGAAGGAGGGGCAGAAATCAGATGCGGTAACGTGTTGGTACAGCTGTGTTACTGACCGTTGGATCAAAAGAAGATGCTATCGCTTTAGGCCAACACGTGTTCACACAAAAAATGGGCTTAAGATTTGGCTTATGGGCTTTTAGGATTTCTTGGGCTTTAAACCCAACGCCCAGTAATAATTTTTTTCTTAAAAAATTAATTTATACACAAAAATATTGGCCCAATCTCTCTCTATGTAATATGTATATACACACAATAATCACCATGCGTTCGAATCATCCATCGGCCAGGCATGGTGGCAACTCGACATCGCTTGGCCTATCATCCGATCCCTCAACTTTCTCGGATTTGCCACCGACGTCAAGTTGCCGTCCTCCACTTCCCATAAACAGAGGATGGCCCTTGTCTTCATCTACATTATAACATTTTAATCATTAAAATTGGAAGGAGAAAAAAAAAACCCGAAGTTCCCCTGCAAGAACTTGTTGAACAAAAACCTCCATCCATTTTATACGTATTTTATTTATATATTATCAGAAAAGGGCTAAGCTTTGAAATTGTCCTTTGCTCTACGTATAACTCCCAAAGCTTCTGCTTCATCTGCTGCCTCTGAGATCCCCAATGCCCTTCGGATCTCCGGATTCGTCGTTCTTAGAAAAGGGTTGCATGCTCTCTCCATCTTCACCGTTGTCGGAATCTGAGGTTGTCCAAAACAACCCATATACCTCAGTATTCAGCGAAACTGTATAGGGAATGCGTATTATCCGACGAAGGAATACGAGACAAAAGAATTTACATACCGTTGGCAATCTTTTGCTGCGGAGATCTGCGATATGGGCTGCATAGGACTGGAGAACCTCGTTATTTGGCTCTATAGACAGCGCAAACTTGGAATTGCTCTGCCATATTCAAAAAGAAGTCAATCGAGTGAAGATGGTTTGAATCAGGTGCTCAGATAGCTACGAGAATTTACACGGACCAGTGTATATTCATGACCACAGTATATGCTTGTGTCGTCGGGCAAAGTAACGATCCTCTGGAGAGAAGCATGCATCTGAAGAACAAGTAGAGAAAAATAAATGGAGAAAATAAAGAGAGAATCTTTAATGGTTTGTAAATATGGAAACATGGTTTACCTGTTGGGGAGTGCCTTCAAAGAGCTTACCACATGATAAGCTAAACAAGGTGTCACCCGTGAAAACTGCTCGTGCCCCTGGAAAGTAGAAACTGATATGGCCTGCATTCAGATGAATCCACAAAATTAAAATGAGACCAGGTATCATGAACACTACAATGTTCCTACAATGAATTTTTTCTTTATAAGCGACACAACCATACTTTTCAGACAATGACTGTCAAGATATATGTCCACAGTTTCTCACAACATAATGTAGAAATAAAAAAGAGATTTTGGAACAAAGTTCTGAAAATCCTAGAAAAAACACATTCAAGAATTACTTTTGAGGACGGAAAGCAACCTCTTGTGTGGCCAGGAGTTTCGAGCACATGGACTTCATGGCCAGCAAACATCCATCTGTCACAATCCTTCAGAGCTATATCAATTCCTGGGATCCGGTCCCTATCTACAGCCGAACCAATCACCTGCATGCCACAAACATGATAAATTCTGTAGCAGGTCCCTTATATAGAGCTAAATGAGTCAAATACTCGCATCGGAAAAATCTAGTCCGGTAAAAGGATCAGAAAGACACAAAAATTTTCCACTTCAGACAATTAAGATCTAACCAGTATGGTAAATCTTGTACGATTTTCAAAAGTAAACATGTTAATGTCTTCAGTAAATCTATACTTCTCATACATTACCATGCTCGTTCAAACATCAAAGCAGAAGGAACTGTGGAAGCACCATACCTTCGCACCATACCTGTCTTTTAACTCCAGATTCCCGCCAGTGTGATCATAATGATGATGGGTATTCAATATGTACGTCAGATTTCGATTGTCCCTTTGCAATGCATCCATAACAGGCGTAGCTTCAGAAGGGTCAACTACTCCAACTGTGCCGGTATCTTCGTCATGCAAAATATAAGCATAGTTTTCCTGAAGACATGGCACCTGAAAATAACAGATACGCATATCTGCCCTTAAGAGTTGAGAATAATATTCAAAACTGGACGAACTGCGTAATGTCTTGTTGGCATGAAAGTTTAAATAATATTCAAAACTGTGACACACAAACCAGTTCAATTTGCAATGAGGAAGAGACATTGGAGACACTGCAGAACCGTGGAACTCGAACAGTTCGAAGAGGCACAGAGAACAGTTTCATTACTCCACAGACAATACCCTTTCTGAGGTTAAGCTGTCTCAGGCATGGCTTCATATATTTCCGACCTGTCTCCTTCTGCCAAAGAGCAAAACAGAGAAAAAGATAACTCGTTTTCAAAATTCTGACAAGCTTTTGTGCATATATCATACTATATCACACAATCCAAAAGCCCAGTAAAATCATCGTGACACTGAAACACAAACCTGTTGTAGATGATCAACAAGTTCTGTCTAAATTTATAATCCTCAATCAGTATCTTAAGTGAGGAACCCAGACACAATATTTCAGAATCAAGAACACTAAACTCAGTTTTTCTCTAAAATTACAAGTAGGATACATAATTCACAGCACTCCATCTATACAAGCTGTTTCCTCCTCATCTCACAAATCAAATTCGAAACTTCAGAAGAATAAAAAAATTAACTGCTCCCACTTATAATACCACGAAGCATCGCAAAGTATTCGTCTACAAACCCTGATTTTCAAACAGACTGCGTAAGAGAGAGTAAGCCCTAGAATTCTCGAGTGATCCCAACACAGAGATGGAGAGAACAAAGAAAACTCATCATCGAACGATAGATTTCACAACAAGCAAACAAAAGAAACAAACCCTAGAATGGCGAAAGAAGGAGACAGCAGAGGAAGCTTTCGAGATGGATTGCATCTCTCTCTCCGTCGCTCGCTCACAGTCTCTCGTTGAAGGAAGAGGTTTAATCGACGTGTCGCTCACCCACCACCTAAATACCGTAGATTCTTCGATAACCGAACCGAACCGAACCGGCAAACCGGAATCGACACAATTTTCAGAATTTTTTCCTACGTATTTTTCCAATTTAAATAATCTTTTCCAATTTTCGGGGGGAAAATTAAAATTTACAGACCCAACCATCTGAACTCATATCTGATACATCAAACGGGGAAGAAAATACATATATTTAGATATATATATATATATATATATATATATACATACATATAGAGAGAGTGAAAAATATATTCCATACTCCGTCAACGTAATATATAAATTCAAGGACAAAAAGAACAACGAGTTTTTACATTCGAACAAAATTTAAAACTCAACGACATATAATAAAGTGAACAACCCTGACTGAGAGAAGACGTATTCATTCTCTCTCCTCTCTCCTCTTCAATGGGTAAAGATAGCGAGACAGAGTTGGCCTTCCGCCCTAAACGACCAGAGCTCGAGCCCATCCCCTTCCTCGAACTCGTTCGCTTCTGCAAGCCTGTTCCAGTTCTTCTGCAGCGAGTAATTGGAAGAGAACCCGTCGTTCTTCGAGCTCTTCTCCATGTTCCATCTCTTCAGCGCCAAGTCCCATGTCCTCGTCATCGGGTCTATCACCTTCACCTGGAAGCCGGCGTACTTCTTCTTGGTGTTCTTGCTCTCTTCGTACATTCCGTCTATCGATCTCCGCTCATCATCCGTCAAGAAGTCTTCGTCCTTGATTGCGGTGAAAGGGATCAAGAGACGAGAAAGGCTTTTGTTCACGTCGCTTTTTGTCACGGTCTTCTCTGTAACCAGCCTGGGGTCCTGCCCGTTCATCCTTGTCATTGCATCTGCGATCCAAGCAGGTGGTTCTCTCACGACACTCTGAGCAGCAGGGGGAGCGGGGGGGTCGTCGGCGACTATCTCCATCGGAGCAGCGGGGGGAGTGGGGGGGTCGTCGACCACTATCTCCATCGGAGCAGCGGGGGGAGCGGGGGGTCGTCGGCGACTATCTCCATCGGGGCCTGTTCTTCCTCGGCGGTGGTAATGTCGGAGTCCGGAGAATGAGAATGACTCTCCACGAGAGTCGCCATCTTCTGTCTCTTGCCGTTATTCCTCTCCTCCTCTGGATCATGGGGGCGCTTGCTGGGATTGGAGACAGAAGAAGGAGACGACAGAAGATGGGTGTCTGGTGGCATGATGAGGTCAAAGAAGTTGGCGCCTTCTCCGGGGGTTTCTCTTTCCGGTGGGGACAAAGAACTTCCCGATGTGGTCGAAACGTAGATGCTGGGGGATCTCTGAGGAGGAAGATCTTCCATTTGAGCAAAACCCGCCAGAAGCTCCATCGCATAGGCAGGTCCGGGGCCGAGAAGATCGAGGGATTTATGAAGAAAATGAGGATCGATCGCAGCAGCAGCATACACCAAGAGGTCTAACCGATACTCCATGACTGCCGACAGCATATGGATCGGTCAAAGCCTCCAGCTTTACACTCTCTGCAGGAAGATATGGAGAGGGTGAGTGGGTGTCTCACTTATATAGGAGCTCAGTAGTTTCCTTTTCGTTTCTATCTCCATTTATTTAGATTTTGTAGGATTCGCTTTTCGAATTATCGTTCATCTCCTCTATCAAAAACAAAAAATCTGATACGGACGAATTTCATGAACACTTAGCTTCTCCATAATTACTATTTTATCCCTCCATCCTTTTCATTTCTTGGGAGCTTTTTTCAAGTTTATTTATTTATTAATATCTCCGAGATAAAACTGGGAATAGAAAAGGAAACTTTGTAAAACTTGATTTGTTTTAATCTGGATTAATTGATTAAGATAAAAACAATACGGACATGGAAAGTAAGTTGTTAACTCGCAGTTGATTAATCCGGATTAATTAAAATGGCAAGAGCACATTTCTCGTAAATTACTATTTTATCCATCATCGAAACAGTCAAATCGGAAAGAGCTAAAACATAAATAACTGTCAACTGAACTCTTCTCATGCACACATACTTACAAGCAACTATTACGAGATATTCTTTTATTTTATTTAATTAACTTGTGCAATAATTCTTGTCACTTTTAACCACTAAACAGTTAATTCAATAAATCGGTCCAATTTTTGTCAAAATACAAACTAAAAAATATAAAGATATTAAAAGTTCTCGCGATAAAGATCAAATTTACAGAGTTTTGAACTCTATTCGAAATGAAGCGAAGACATTATAGTATTTATATAAATTGTAGATACTATAATATGATAGATTGAAATCAATACTATATTTTTGTGATTTTTATAATTGTATAATTTATTTTTGTTTTTCTATTCAAATTTTATAGTTTTTTATAATAAACTTAAATTAGAACTTTTTTAATAATTTAGATAGTTAATAATTTTTTATTAAAATAAATACTTTATGTTTTTTATAATAAATTTAAAATGAAATATTATTTTTTTAAAATAATTTACATATTTGATGGTCTTTTTTTCCAAACATAATAGTTTATAATTTATTATAATGAATTTTTAGTAAAAAAAATTTTTAGTGTAATTGAGATAATTAATGGTTTTTTTGGGTTTGTTTCAAAAAAGAAAGAAAAAAAAGAAATTCTAATAGCCATTATCGTATTTTAATTATGTATCAAAAATATAATTTTTAATAATAACAATTATTATTTTAAAAATATAATTCATTGTTTAATCTTAATTAAGTAAAAAGATAACACAAATTTAGATAACCTATTGGTAAGAAAATATTCAAAACATGTCTATACTTGGATTAAAATTCAAGTGTGAAAAGAGATACATGGATTTCCAGGATACTCTAAAAGATATACTTAGACAAATATCTAAAAGATATACACAAATAACTGATGAAATTTAAGATTATAAAAAAAATTACTTTGCATGTATGAGATAGAGTTTGAAAAAATGAGATAATTGATAGAATATCAGGATGACATTATCAATTAAAAAAAGTATAATGTCATTAATGCTAATCCAAAACTTGGATGCATCTAATCCCTTCAGTTGAAAAGATTATGGATCAAAGAGGGTGAGGAGTGTAACTTGGCCAACAAGCAAGCCGCAGCGGAATCCCTAGCTTCCTCTGGATTTGGTTTCTCCTCTCCACAGGTCGTGTATTCCAACTCTCTCTCCGTTAGTTTCGCCTCGGCTTTGAATCCACCTTTCCAAAACAGCTCAAATATGCTAGTGAATGTTGGTTGGATCACGAACATACATATATATATATATATAAAGGATGGTTTTGATTTGTACACTCTTGCATGAAATTTTTTATTGAAAGCCCTTACCCTTTGATGACGATACTCGATACGTGGGTAAAACCCAGTTATTCTCGTAACATATATCATCAAGTTTCTGCCAAAAAAGAGAGAGAGCCACCATTGCAGGGCGCAATGAAATCTTGACATTTGAAGAAGAAGAAGAAGTATAGTATTTTTGCAAGACTCATTGATTTGGGGATATAACTTACCTGACAAGAGCTTTTCCTACAGGGGAGAGGTTCAGAAAGCTTCAGCCTTTTGTAAGATTGGCAAGCCGAGTTATCGGGTGATTGCTGAGATGTTGTCTCAATGGATGCACGTCTTGGGTATACATCATTACAGCACTCTATTATCGATTCCAGTTTCAGCTCCCAATCATCTTCACCACCTGTAACAAGTCCAATCAGAAAAGCTTCATGTAATGTGCTTGTTCTGTAACTGTACCATACACTTAGATGATCAAACCTGTCTTTTTCTATTAGATTTAGGATTAAGGGAAGTTATGACAAGAGGACATGCATACACCTCGGAGAATATTATGGATGCTTTTATCACATCTAGCAATCTCATCTTCAATGTTTCGCTGCTGAAGAATCTGCAGTCACGGAGAAACATCTGAGTGTATTTCCAGTTTTATGAAAAAGAGAACCTCTTCAACATACCCAAGAGAAATAATCACACAGCAGAATCTGATATCTATATATGTATATATATATAGCATGACCTTTGAAAGGTACCGAGAATCTGGTTTAACATTAACAGTACAGAAAGGGCAGTAAAAGAGAATGTCTGAGCATAATATTGATGGCTTTGTATTGAAATCAAATCACAACCCTTGTGCAACCATGAACGGATAGATGTAGTAATCGTTTAATGCATCGTGAATGTGCACTGAGATCCATGTTTCTTGTGTGCTACCATATGACATTATAGTGGAGGAAGTATACTGCAGAGTAAGTATCATCTCAAATCGGAGAAAGGAACATACCAGTTTATCACGTTTACACGAAAGAACTCTCAATGCAGTTTCTGACAATAGCTTTGACTTGGAAAGAATCACAGTTTGGAACTTGTCGAGATCTAGGTTGGAGTTATGAGCATCAACTGCAATGGAATTATGGTTATGAACACTACGCAGCTTGTCAGCACCAGTTTGTGGTTCATCAGGAATGGATTTCCTCTTTTGAGTTCCGTTCTCTCTGTGATCAGCACTACGTTGGATCACCTTTGAGTCAGACCCGAGCTGCATGTACAAGAAATGATGTGATGAACTAAAGCTAATAAGATTATGTGTAAGATAGTAGCAGAAATGAACAGGCTACTCATCATCAGTGTAAGAAAATCATTTTTTTTAGTCTCCAAAACAAACGGATTTTGTTAAAAAACAGAGGGGTACTCATTTGATGAATTGATGTACAAATGAAAAGAGGATCAGATTCTGTTTAAGACCCAACCAAACATCAAACAACTGAAGCATGAAAAAAAAGCACGAAAGCTGTAGGGTTCATCCTGTAAAAGAAAAGAGCTCAACTTTACCTCAAAACCGTTCTTCTTTCTATCGGGATGGCTATCCTTCTGGACAGTGTTAGGACTGTTTCTAAGAAAGCCATGGTTTGGAGAGTGTCGATCATTGAGATCATCGCATGATTGATCATTACCCGTTGACTTTGAAGCAAAATGTTCTCTGCTTCTACAATGATCGGAAGTTACTGTTTCTCTATGGACTTTAGCCTCCTCCTGTCCTCCGCTTACTCTTTTGTTTCCATCAGCAACCACATGTGAACTTTCATTACCACAACCAATGACTTCAATTGCCCACGATTGTCCACCCTTTGGCTTTGAAGGAACATGTTTTCTGCCTCTACCACGACTGAAACTTGCTGTTTTTCTATGAACTTTAGGCTCCTGTCTTTGTACTCTCTTGTTGCCACCAGAAGCCACATCTGGCCTTTCATTACCAATATCAGCGGCTTCCATTGTCATTTGGTCTTCTACCTCCTCTGTTCTTATGCTCTCTCCAACACCAACGGCCATAGATGCTGCTTCTTTCTTTTCAACAAACCCTTCATCTTCTCCCCTACAAAACACAAGAAAATAATATACTATATTGCCAACCAAAATGTATTAAATTTTTTCCAAGAAGCAATGGATGTAGCAATCTATTTTTTGTGCATAAAGGGTAGAAACTAATGTCGAATAACAAAAAACCAAAGCTGAGAAGACAAGAAAATATACCTAGAAAACCAATCAGCTACAATGTCAGAAAATGGAAGCATATGAAAGTATTCAACTACAGGGGTGGTTGTCCATACGGAGGAGATCTTCTGTAGTAGTGGACCTTGCAAGCTATTAATGTCGAAAAGTTATTATGAGAGTCGATTAGGAAAGCAGTACTTGATGATACTAACATAACACATCACGTAGATACTCATGCTAATCAAATATGAGGAAAAGTGAGTAGATGATTACGTGCCAAAGCTCCAGTTTCTCACATTCATAAGAGCAGTCTTTCCAACAAGATCACCTACTTAAGATCACTAGCACTACATTTTACTGGCAGTTGATGGTTCCACAAGATGAATATTCCACTGAAAATGCTATGGTTATGATAACTAGCAGTATTGCAGCGGTTAGATCACTTAGTACCTGTTAATTGCATCCTCAATGGGAAGTGTTACGAGGTCACTATTTTCTGAGAAGCACCGCATAATGTAGAAACGGGCAGCTGTCCTCTCCTTTCTCAGCGAGTACACAACATGTCTCTCCACAATCATAACAGCATTTTGTTTAAAACCTGTTGCTTCCTCAACTGCTGAAAATGCAAGTTTCTCAAAAACAATTTCGATATCCTTCACTTCGCCCAGCTGGCATCCTAAGCTATGATGAGAGTCGTGGGCGGCTTTTTCAATCAGTGACCACACACCCTGAGTGATCTCACTGTGTTGAAGGTAACACATTTTCCTATCTGAATCAACCAAGAAAATGACAACTTCTCCAATCGGCCACTTCTCTATGCTTGATGAAGCTGGCAACACATCCAAATTCGTACACAAACCACATGCATTCATTATAACCCGCTTCACTAGTGAAGTTTGTTGGGAAGCATCACACTGTTCAATTTCATTAGGTTCCTTCAAATATTGAAGTAGAACAGGCCTGAAAACAGCAGCCATCTTGCAGAATGCTTCTGAACTCATGTACTCGAGATGAGGATGCTTTCTTCTGTGATAATAATTGTAAAGCACCACAACAGCATGTACCTTCGCAATACCAGTCAGCAATTTGGATGCATCCATGTACATATAAACAAGCCATGACAAGATACCTTGCAAAACACTTTTCGGCACATTCATTTAGGACCAAACGCAGAAGAATATGCATGGTTTTTACAGCAGCATGAATGCAGGAAACGAAGCTTAGCAATATGAGAGCATAATTATTGTCTACCCCAAGAAGATGGTGATATTGGCATGTGGATTGAAAAGGGACCATGGAAAGACGTGTGTTGTTACGATGCAACTCTTTCAAAGCAATTTCAATATACAGAAAAGCAATCACCTTAACTAGAAACACTAAGAACGTAAATCCATTGTCCGACCAGCTTCAATAGTCTATGAATAACAATAAGCCATAGAAAATGCAATGTAAACAGAGAAATTTCCTACTGTCAAATGAAAGACACTGAAACAAAAGTAGAACAACTATGGAGAAGAGACGACAAAACCCAAAACAAAGACAAAAAACCGGAAATCAAGGTTTGGAATCTCTTGGGAAGAAATCAACGGAGTACCTGCTTTGCTACAGGCTCCTGTTCAGCCATCGATGGAACATCACTGGTGGCAGATTTAACAGGTAGCAAAGGGTCAACAAGATATTCTAACAGAGCTTGAATTGCATCCTCTGGCGGACAAACGTCCGAGGTTTCCATTGTCTTTGCGTCTCTCTACTTATGTCTTGTATGATAGCAGCAGCAAGAGTTACATTTTGTAACCAAAAGAAAAATCGAAAAGCAAATCATTCCACAGACAGAAGAAAGAAAATCAACCGAAATCGACCCTCAAAAACCAAGCAAATTCACAACGTAAACTTCGAAAACTCAAAAGCCATAACTTCACAAAACAAGTTTCGAGCACAAAAGAGACGAAGAACAAGAGACCTCATTTACCATTACCAAAAAAAATAAAAAAAAAATACCCAAAAAAAAAAGAACAAGAGACGTACACCAGGAGAGAAGAGAACAGAGATCAAAGGCAGAGAAAAGGCGAAATTCCAAGATCCAGAAGAAGCAGCATACCTGGAAAGGAAACCCTAGGATTTGATTCCCTTGGGTCAAAGAGAGACACAAACACGAACATACAAATACAGTGTGAAGGGACGCTGCGCCTGTATTGCATTTTTTTTTTTACGGAATTCGAAAAGGCGCCACCCGTTCGAACGAGTGTGGGCCCTCTCTCTGTTGTTGGAATTTTCCTGTGAAAACGGTACTAATTGTTCTTACAAATGGAAAAAAAAAATAAGCACCAAATTTTTTTAACATAAAAAAATAGATAACAAATAGAGACAAATCGTCTATATATTGATTTATTTTTACATTTATTTTATCATTACATTCTAATTTAAGAGTGATTTTTATTTCTTATTAAATTTAAATTTTATTATATTAAAAGATTTATCTTTTATTATATTTGACATTTTATTGTTTATTATTTTTTTCGCGAATGAGATTACAATAATTACATCACAATTTGTCATGTAATATTAGTTACTGTTTTATTATATATATGTGAGCCATTATTGAAATAATATGAAATTGTACACACCAGACCTTTTTTTTTTGGTTATCATCGTCAATCACTTGTTGATAGTCTTTTCTTACAAACATAATCTCTATATTATAATTACAAACATAGGGGTAACAAATCTGAATCCTATCTCTTTGTATATATAGTGTATATGTATAATTAATAAATATAATGAACATAAAAAACATAGCACATATAAAATCCATAATTAATCCACTCAGATTTGATAATTAACAACTCTATAATCAATATCATATATGTATATATATATATGTATGTAGCATGTATACTTCAAAATATTTACATGAACCATCACTATTCCTTTATGCTCTCATATTCTCTTAAAATATCGATAATATGGCGTGGACGAGGAACGTGATGGTGTTTCCTTTGTTACTCGCGCTGCTTATTTCCTCCACAAACGCGATTCCGGAAGACGCTATCAACGATCTCTGCAGCGAAACGCAGGACAAGGACTTCTGCCTTAAACACATAGGCACCGACCCGCGAACGAAGGCAGCGGCCAACTTAAACGGCGTTCTGTTAGTCGCGATATCGCAAGCGACAAATCAGGTGATCGATGGATCGACGCACATCGACGCGATCAAAGGCGGTGTATCGGACGCGTTAGGGCAAAAGCGAATCGGCGTCTGCGATTCGGACTACGAGAACGCTCATACGAAGTTCCAAGAAGCATGGGGCAAAGCTAATGAAGGTGCGTTCATGGAGGTGATCAACTTCGTACGCGACGGCACAAACGCAGTCATCGACTGCATCAATGTCTACCGAAGAGATGGTCCGACTACGGACAATCCACTCGGTTACTTTAACCAAAATGTTTTTAAATTGTCTGAAATTATTCTCGTCGTTAACAATAAGCTCATAGGGTAGCATATGTTACATGCCATCTTCTCATGTGTTGTATGTAACCTACCTATCTCTATACAGAATATATTGTATGCTGAATTATGCACACACAAAAAAATGTTTTTTTTTTGCATGAATATTCAAAAATAATACCAATTTATTTGTGTATTATGGAAAATAATCCAAGAGTGTAAATATTGTAAGGTAATGCTTAGAGAGACACTATATTATTCTCAATTATTAGTTGTTAATCTATATTTACTAACATAATCCGTATAATTCAATTGCAAAACTGGCAACAAATTTTACTCCCCTCTCTTTAAAAAGTACTATATAATTAAATTTCGTCACATAATGTAACAAAAAGAACGCATAGAATATGTATTATCCTAAACTAATCGATCCAGATTTGACCACAAATCTTTAATCGATATCATTATCATATTGCATTTATATGTTATCTTTTTCTACCATATTTATACACACACATATATATATACACACACACACGAAGGATTCATCACTATTCCTTTATGTTCTCATCTTCTCTTACGCTGCAGTAACATGGCGTCGACGAGATATGTGATGTTGTTTCCTCTGATACTAGCACTGCTTGTTTTCTTCGCAAACGCGATTCCTCAAGACGCGATCAACGATCTCTGCAGCCAAACGCAGGACAAGAACTTCTGCCGTAACACCATAGGTGCCGACCCGCGAACGAAGGCAGCGGCCGACTTAAACGGCGTTCTGTTAGTCGCTACATCGCAAACGATAAATCAAGTGATCGATGGATCGAGCCATATTGACGCGATCAAAGGCGGTATATCGGACGAGTTAGGGCAAAACCGACTCGGCGTTTGCGACTCGGACTACGAGAATGCGCTTACAAAGTTCCAAGAAGCATGGAGCAAAGCTAATGAAGGTGCGTTCATGGAGGTGATCACCTTCGTACAGGACGGCACAAACGCAGTCATCGACTGCATCAATGTCTACCGGAGGCATGGTCCGATCGAGGGCAATCCACTCGATTACTTTAACCAAAATGTTTTTAAATTATCTGAAATTATTCTCATCGTTAACAATAAACTCATAGGGTAGAATAGATTACATGCTATGTTCTCATGTGTTGTAACCTGTCTCAATGCAATTAAGAGAAAGTATGCTGAACTATGCAACTATAAAAACGCCTTTTTTCCCATGGGTTATCGAAAATACTCCTATGGTATTATCCAGAATAATCCGAGTCCGACACAAGCGATGAGTTTAAGAGGAAGCGATCTATGGACCTGAAACCGAGACCGCGGTCTGAGACAGAGACAGGAGGGGTTAGTGTGAAACAACGCCCTGACTCGGGTTTTCTGTCAGCCTTCTCCAGACCATTTTCCCGCAGTAAAACAACGTCAAGGATGCCACGATGTAGAGAAGAGGAATCCCGATTACGCAGCCACCCGGCGCGAAATTCACCAACGTCTGACAAGATCCCAAAAATGTAAGAAAAGGGAAGAAAGAATGAACATATTTTTATATAGAACGATGAAATGTAGGTGGAGTTATACCAAGATTCCAGCAGCAAGGTGTACCACTGGAACAAATACTTGATCTACTTTCCTCCCTTCTGCATACCCGTCGAATGCAATCACCATCGAGAATGTGTGGATTGTCACAAATGCAAGAGCAATGATTGCTGCAAGAGATGTAGAAACTTCTGAATCAGTATTTGCAGTATTATCACCATAAGCATGAATTTTGCATACCTTTGTGAGATAGAAAATGAACATATGCATATAAGTGTAGGAAGCAAACATACATATATGTATATATAAATTTTGAGCTCACCAGATATTAGAAAAAATGGCATCTGTGGACATCTGTCAACATAGTATGTGGCTGGACCGAATGCCGGTGTCAAAAGACTCAGGCAGAAGAACACAGCATGAGCCACACCGTGACCTAAACCACCAGCTGCATGAAATTGGCTGGAATTGTCTTAGCTCATATATCAAGAACGGAAGCAACAAAAAGAAAAAAGTACAACAATTGTCTGATTCAATGTTGTAGAAGATATATAGTTTATGTGGTTTCCATGAATCTCTGGCATTCACGTTCACCCGTGACCAGAACCAGTCACCCGATGAAACTGTTCATTGAGCTTCTCACAAGCTCAACGGCCTGAGCAGACAACTTGTCAATTTTCACAATAAGAGTCGCCCTCATTTTAAAAGATAATAACACCATCCAATTCGAATGAGTAGTTTTCACAAAGCAACAGTCCATCTAATCTCAGTAAAATACAAAAATCTTTTTTGCAAACAAACATACCTAGGGCAATCTGCATCTTATCAGTTAAAAACAGACGAGGCCTTGAGATTCTATCGGCAAAGGCATCCAAGACGTCCTCAAGCCTCCTTCAGTAAAAAAAAAGAAAAAAAAAATTCGAACATGATAACCAACAATTGTAACTCAGTGAACTATGATGCAAGTTGACAAATTTTTAGGTGCACCAGGTAGAAATCCTTAAATCTAAAAACTTGTGATTGTGGTACCCAAACCAAGATTCAAAGTGAAGTTTCTAAAAGGATCAAAACAAAAGACTCAAGAAAAGCTCAGAAGATGACCAATACATGCCAATGCTATCTTACAGATAATGATTTATCAGATAAAGCTGTCTAATTTATTCAAAATAACGGGTTATCCATATGGAGCATTTTCAATTACCAATAGCCATAAGCTTCGGGTACACATCCCTTCAGATCATCCGAGGCTAACAAATTCAGACAGATTCCAAATAATATGATAATCAATGGGCAGTCTGAAAATAGGTCCAAATCAAAAGATTCGGCCGTAAGATCAAAAGCTACAGGCAGAAAAGCAATACAAATACTTTTCAGGTGTACTCTCCAACTCCAACTCAGGGCCATATGCACAACCGAAAGGCGAATTCACCATCTTTCACTATTAGGACCTCATCATTCAGCCAAAACCAGAAAGATTAACCTAAGAAAGATAACAACAGCAAGCCAGATGAAAACTTACTTGTACACCTTCCAGAACAGAAGCCGAAGACCTTCTTGGAAACCAACGGACATGACAATGAGTATAGCATACGGCCACCAGACATTAGCCTTGAGAGGAAGAAACGGCCTCCATAGCCCAGACAGGATAATCAAGCTCACCAGCCATAGCAGTGTGCTACATTGTATTCACAAACAAAATGCATCAACTTGACGACTAAATCCTTCAATCAATCCCAAGAAGCATAACACGTAAGTTATAAACCCTAATTTTCCCTCTTAATCGCGAAGCACTCCAAACTCCGCAAAAGCAGAATCAAAACGAGCCTAATCAGACATTGCGAAGCAAAACGACTCAATTCAAGCAGACAATCGTCAGAAATTTTTCCGTTTATGGATGGGAAGAAAACCCATAACCCAGAATTTTCCCGAGAAGATCGCAGAGAGAAGGAACCTGGAAAGAACAGTGAGGATCAAAAAAGGCTTCTTGGAGATGACGGAGACGAAGAGAGAGAGAGACGGTCCCAGAGCCACGAGCGCGTAGCCAATCCCGGCCGCGACAGTCATCCGTCACCACCGCACTTTGCTACGATAGATCAGATTCTTCAGATGATCATCCGCTTCCAAAAGTTGAGACTTTCCTTTTTGTCGTCCCTTGCAAAGGAGACGACCATTGAAAAAAATGAAACGGAATTTGTAAAACTGTGACTAGTTTCCACAAAATTTAAAATAACTATTTACCAAAATATAATATTTTAAACCTAGGAAAAAGGTTGCAGAGAAAATTCTGTATTTTAATTAATTTCCGTATGTATAAACAATAATCTATAATAATTTCGTGAAATTAGACATTTTTTAAAATACCAACAACAATCCAGTGAGACTAAAAACACAAGCTGTGTTCTTGCTCATTCCCATAACAGCTGTACAGTTTCTTGAACGCAAGCCTTTTTTAAAACACGGAAATGCCTTTTTACAAATCAAGAAAGAGAATCAAGAATCTGATTTGGATCAAATTTTCTTGCTCTGATTAGATTTCTTCGGTTTGGATGAAGGGCAGGTCGGAGTCTCCTTGAATGCATTCGGACACAACTCGTTGACGCTGCAACTTCTACACTTTGGTCTGAGTGGAGTGCAGATCGTTTGTCCGAAACCCACCTGCGAATCCAACAATTACGGATTGAGTTCGGTCTCTTCGCCGATTCAAAGCCCTGATCAATGCAATGCGAGTGGAAAACATAATATGATCATATTGTCTGATAAGGTGGTTAGAAGAAGGACGTACTAAGAGCGGGTTGATGGCAACCCATTCTTCCTTTGGCAGCCATTGTTGGAGAGCTACCCTTGTTTCTTCCGGAGACAGAGTTTTCTGCGCCAAAAACACAGTGACAGACAGTGAGCACACAAGCAGAAGAACAGCGGTAACAGCCTTATGAATTGAACCATTTTCTGTAGGAAGATCAAATTTTAATCCCAAGATGATTTTCTATAGACAGTGATAATTGGCAGATCTATCTACCAACAAGAACCATAGCCTATATAGCACTGAAGTGAGGAAGATTTGTCCAAAGATTGAAACTATGATACATATTTATTTAGTATTAAGATGGAAAACGAAACAAGACTAAGTCTTTTCGATTGTTCGTGGGAGTGGCAGAGTGGGAAGAGAAAGCTTCTGAAATTTTTTCGAGTCGGACATGCTTTGGACTTTATCCCAAAGACAACATAATACAACACAAAACATGCATACTGAAGTTGCAAAAAAAATCTTAGAAGTACCTGATTAGTTCCTGTTCGACACACCCATCCAAGCCGGTTACAAATGCGATGCACATGCGTATCTACGCATATCCCTTGGACATCGTTCCATGCTATGTGCAAAACCTATATACATGACATCACATCACAAGAAAATTTTCAAGAATTTTTTATAAAATGTGTGTGTATCTACCTCGCAGAATGAGTTGGGTGATCAAATTTACCAGATGAGCCATTTTGGGGCCTATTCCTGGAAGCGCAAGTAATTCCTCCAAAGAGCTTGGAATGTCTCCGTCATATTTCGTGAGACAAATTTTTGCTACTTTCTTCATATTACTAGCCTTCCTAGTATAGAATCCTACCTAGATGTAAAGGCAAACAGTTAGTTTCATAACCCCCAGCAGAACCTATATGTTTCTTTGCTTTTTTATTCACTCTCTTTTTCTATGCATCTATTTCTGAAAATTTACACACCATGGATCCATGCCGGTATCAGAGACTCAGAGAGATCTTCAATGTCAACAAGTAAGATGGCACTGAGATAACGTACCGGGTAGATCAAATCTTTGAGCACAGATTCATCAGCTTTGTCAATGGCATCAGGTGTGAGAAGGCCATTTTGATGAAGACGTTGTATCGCCCCTGCATATTGAAAGCAACTGAATGACATTTCTGGTTGCACAAAAAAGAAAAAGAGAAAAAACAGTGGGTAGTCATAGACTCATACTACAACAATGAAACTGACCATTGTTTACTTGATCTTTAGTTTGACTTGAAAGAAGTGATGAAATTAGCACCGCAAATCTTCTTTCCTAGATATAACAAGTGTTTGGCAAGAAGAATATCAGTGGTCAAACAAGGAACAATCCATCTCTCTCCCTTCAAACATTACTTGATGCTTTGAAATGTGGGAAGAGTGAAAGGGTGTAGGATGAGTAACATGAAGAAATTCCCCTAGACTTGAACTAGCATTTATTACATTACAGTTTTACCAGGATCATGAAGTATAAAAGGTGCTTCTATGATAAACAGAAAACCTCAAGCAGGAGCTAGCAACTTGGTTATGCTCGATGCATAAAACACCATGTTATAAAGAAAACGAAATGGGAAGTAATACATCAGAACAGAAAATCAACGAGTGTAGCTGTCGGGATAATTACACAAACATCACCGATACCTGCAAAATTAGATCGAATAAAATAATTGTACCTTTGGTGGCAGAAAGCTTCCAGCTTTCTCACATCCCACAGAGTCAACGGGTGCGTCTTCAGAAGATCTCATCTTGCAAATACCCTCAAGCACTTTTTCCCAGTTATCAGGTGGTTGACCTAGATAAGATCAATACATCATACATATATTGCAATTATTGCAGAATTCAGATGAAACATCCACAAGAAAAAATCTATAAAAAAATGTCACTAAGGTTGCTGGTTTATGATAAGCTACCGGCTGTTCTGATCGAGGACTTGTTGGTGGTACTTCTCATCGATTCTATATCTGGGTTAGGCTTTAACTTCCCTGCAAAACCAGTCCACATAACAAAAATGTTATGTTGAAGGAAAAAAAAAAGAAAGCATTTCCAATACCTTTCCACGTATTATCATTATGAAAGAATCTATCGATTTGGTTATAAATGCACAACATATCAAAACGTTTCAAATGTTGCCCGAGTTGCAGTTAAACGATCAAATAAGAACTAAAGAAAACATAGGTAAGGAACGATTTAAAAGAGTTATTGCACAGGCACAGTGACTAAATATCCATCAGAAGCTTGATTTCATCTAAAATCCATGATGAACATGACATAATGCTATGAATATTGTTTCTGCCCTTCACTATTCATGATTGAGGATTTGGTTTAGAAGAGAACATCATTGAAATCCACCTGCTATGCGTAACTTCTTAAACAACTATATATATCTGAAGGCTTCGTATCATATAATAAGCACAAATGTAATTACGTACAGTGGGACTTACCAGATGAGACAGATCCGTTGGTCTTTTTGTAAGCAAACTCTTCTATGTCAGGTAACCCACACATCTCCTGCGTTTTTTTGAAAAAAAGAGGGACCGGGAAGATAATAAACAAACTCGCAACAAATCAACTATGCAAGAGGTTTAAAAGCAAAAAAAATCACTGCAATATGAAGTCAAGGATCTTCTATCTGGACTAATTTTTAACTTTGCAAGAGAAACAAAACGAAATGGAAGAATCCAGGTGGTGAACTTACAAAATAAAGGAAAGAAAGATAAACCGAGCAAATACAAAGAACAAAAGGCAGCACACAAGAAAATAAAGAATGCGTCATGAGGATCGCAAAACCTCAAGTTACAGAGTATCATCATATACTCAAATGAAACATGATCCACGCTCTGGCTAGATTTACCGACACACCCATTACCCTGTCATGCTTATAGAACAAGTGAACTGCTAATCAAGATTTGTCTCATTTGCTGAAATTGACCAGAACAAGGTAAGGGGCGAAAATCAGCAAGCATTTCTCAATAATTCGTCATGCTTCAACATTCTCTCCGACCACTCAACCCTTTTGGCTCAGACAAGCTTCAAATTCAAAGCATTTCGATCACTGGCACAAAACCTGGTTGAATTAAGCTCGGTCCTATCGAATTCACCCAAAAGTTGCGCACTTTCACAGAAATGCACTTTCCACAACCCTATTATAAGAACTGTCGGAACCGACCGAAGAAGCGAGTTACAAATGCGATAGAAGCCGAATCTTTTTCCAGGAAAAAGAGAGAAGTTTACTTTCTGGGCATGAATTTGTTCGCCGGACTCTTTCACTACAGGCTCCAGAGGTTGCTGTTTCGGCCTTTTCTTCCGCGCATAAACCCTAATCTCGATTCATGGGTTGGCGAGGAAATTCGGGTTGGAAAGAGATGCTTATGTTGCCCCATCCTTGGTCGAGATGTATGTGCAATCTGGTTCTCTGGAAATACGAAGGCCCCCGTAAATTTTGGGTTTGGGGGGGGGGGGAGAGAGAGAACCTGGGTCTGAAGCGGAACCAGAAATCCGGCTTGTCGGAGAAATGGATTTGCGAGAAGGAGCAGTTCCGTACATTTGGCGCTTCATGGCTTGAAAGATTCGGGAGGCAATGGGAGGAGTCGAGGCGGCGAGAGCTCCTGTATTGTATCTGAAGGAGAAAAAAGGAAAATTTAAGAAATGGTTAATCTGTAAAAAGGTAAAAACGAGTTGCGAATTGGCAGTTAATACTCTCGTTACTCTACCTGAAAGAAAAAAAGGAAAATTTAAAAAAATGGTTAATTTTAAAAAAAAGGAAATCAAGATCGATTCCAAGAAATGGAAAATTGCTGATACCATATCTCTCTCCATATACATATATATATATATATAGATAGATGCGTTAGTGTCATTTCATCCCCAAGCGATTCTCTGTCTCTCTCGCTTTCTCTGCAGAGCTTTGAATCGCCATCAGTGTTCTTGTGTGTTGTCCGAAAGAAGAGGAGATGTGGAGTAACCTGTTTCTCTTGGCCGAAGTCGCCAGCTCGGAGTATGATCGACTCCACTGTGATCTCTCTGAAGCAAAAGCCGCCATTGAAGGGCCTGTCGATGAACCCAGACAGGACACTGCATTGCTCCTCGACCCTCTTGTCTCTGTTCCAACAAGAAAGCGCTCACCTTCTTTCGTTAGACGACCTTCACAAAAACTTCCTCTCCGATTTTCTTCTTCTTCCCTTGCCGAGTGCAAACGCCGTATGAAGCGTCCATTGCTGGAATCGGAAGAAGAAAAACAGAGCACTCAGTTGAAGAAACGGAAGAAGTACGATTCAGGGTCCACCTCCAAAAGCCCGGTGCCTCCAAGAGAAGCTCCGCTGTGGCTTTTGAACGTGATGAGAGAGATGAACGGCTACGCACCCAAGCTGGTCATAGAGAAGAACCTCTTCAAGTCGGACATTAACCGAAACCTCGGCCGTCTCGCCATCCCGACGAACCACGTCGTCGAAAAGGATTTCTTGACGGCCACGGAGGAGAGGATGATCGACGAGAAGTGCAGGCTCAAGACTAGTGATGTGGACGTGGTGGCGGTTCTCGTGGATCCACTCCATCGGAAATGGAATGTGGTGTTGAGGAGATGGGACATGGCCAAGGACTCTGGGAACTGCTCTTCGATTTTCGTCTTCGTCTCTACTTGGAACTCCATCGTGGATGCCAACGGCTTCAAGGAAGGAGACCCGATCGAGCTCTGGTCGTTCCGGTCTCAAGGCAGACTCTGTTTTGCCTTTGTTCCTCCCAGACGAAGTTCCTTGTGCTCCGGCCAATGCAGCTCTGCTCTCTGATCATGTTTCTTCCTTGCATCTTGGAACTGGGTGGATTTTACGATTCTTTGTCTGAAATCGGATCGAATCTTGGTTTTTGTTTTGGTAATGAGATCATGGGGGTTGGTTTCCGTTGTCTTGTTAGATTTTGATTTTGGATGCAACTGACAATGTAATAAAGCGAAATTATATGAAGGGGATATCGCCATAAAAACCCTGTACTTTTCTCAGGTCAACGAAAAAACCCTGTACTTTTTTGCTTACCAATTAAACCCTATACTTGGTATGATTAACCAATAAAACCCCAAACTTGTTAATAATTCACCGAAAACCCCCCGCGACTGCCAACTCAAACAAAAATGATGATGTGGCAATAACTTGGCTTCCAAGTTATGTACACATCATCAAAATTATGACACATCATCATTTCAAACAAAAATAAATTACATAATTTATTTAAATTAATTTATATACATATAAATTCACATATATATATATATATATATTACATATAAAATTACTTATAACTAATAAAACATACATACATATATATATATTATAAATTACATTAAAAATAATATATATATACATATTATTTGTTAATCTGTAAAAAGGTAAAAACGAGTTGCGAATTGGCAGTTAATACTCTCGTTACTCTACCTGAAAGAAAAAAAGGAAAATTTAAAAAAATGGTTAATTTAAAAAAAAAAGGAAATCAAGATCGATTCCAAGAAATGGAAAATTGCTGATACCATATCTCTCTCCATATACATATATATATATATATAGATAGATGCGTTAGTGTCATTTCATCCCCAAGCGATTCTCTGTCTCTCTCGCTTTCTCTGCAGAGCTTTGAATCGCCATCAGTGTTCTTGTGTGTTGTCCGAAAGAAGAGGAGATGTGGAGTAACCTGTTTCTCTTGGCCGAAGTCGCCAGCTCGGAGTATGATCGACTCCACTGTGATCTCTCTGAAGCAAAAGCCGCCATTGAAGGGCCTGTCGATGAACCCAGACAGGACACTGCATTGCTCCTCGACCCTCTTGTCTCTGTTCCAACAAGAAAGCGCTCACCTTCTTTCGTTAGACGACCTTCACAAAAACTTCCTCTCCGATTTTCTTCTTCTTCCCTTGCCGAGTGCAAACGCCGTATGAAGCGCCCTTTTGTGGAATCGGAAGAAGAAGAACCTCTTGACCGATCTTCATCTTCTTCTTCTTCCCTTGCCGAGTGCAAACGCCGTATGAAGCGTCCATTGCTGGAATCGGAAGAAGAAAAACAGAGCACTCAGTTGAAGAAACGGAAGAAGTACGATTCAGGGTCCACCTCCAAAAGCCCGGTGCCTCCAAGAGAAGCTCCGCTGTGGCTTTTGAACGTGATGAGAGAGATGAACGGCTACGCACCCAAGCTGGTCATAGAGAAGAACCTCTTCAAGTCGGACATTAACCGAAACCTCGGCCGTCTCGCCATCCCGACGAACCACGTCGTCGAAAAGGATTTCTTGACGGCCACGGAGGAGAGGATGATCGACGAGAAGTGCAGGCTCAAGACTAGTCCACGGAGGAGAGGAGGATCGACGAGAAGTGCAGGCTCAAGACTAGTGATGTGGACGTGGTGGCGGTTCTCGTGGATCCACTCCATCGGAAATGGAATGTGGTGTTGAGGAGATGGGACATGGCCAAGGACTCTGGGAACTGCTCTTCGATTTTCGTCTTTGTCTCTACTTGGAACTCCATCGTGGATGCCAACGGCTTCAAAGAAGGAGACCCGATCGAGCTCTGGTCGTTCCGGTCTCAAGGCAGACTCTGTTTTGCCTTTGTTCCTCCCAGACGAAGTTCCTTGTGCTCCGGCCAATGCAGCTCTGCTCTCTGATCATGTTTCTTCCTTACATCTTGGAACTGGGCGGATTTTATGATTCTTTTTTTGGGTAATGAGATCATGGGTTGGTTTCCGTTGTCTTGTTAGATTTTGATTTTGGATGCAACTGACAATGTAATAAAGCGAAATTATATGAAGGGGATATCGCCATAAAAACCCTGTACTTTTCTCAGGTCAACGAAAAAACCCTGTACTTTTTTGCTTACCAATTAAACCCTATACTTGGTATGATTAACCAATAAAACCCCAAACTTGTTAATAATTCACCGAAAACCCCCCGCGACTGCCAACTCAAACAAAAATGATGATGTGGCAATAACTTGGCTTCCAAGTTATGTACACATCATCAAAATTATGACACATCATCATTTCAAACAAAAATAAATTACATAATTTATTTAAATTAATTTATATACATATAAATTCACATATATATATATATATTACATATAAAATTACTTATAACTA